ACAAAACATGAAAGTAGGATGTTTAAATTTGCAAGTTAATAAAAGTATATTGTTATTTTGCAAATGTAGTAGTAATTATAACGTCCAATAACTAATTAAAATTGTTTTACATATTCACCCGTGTAGTACACGGGTTATAACCTAGTCACATATATATATTCTTACCCGTCCGCTATCTAAGACAAGCATAGAAAATAGTAGAGATGAGAGAAGCAGAATTTTACATACATGAACATTATCTTAAACTTTATGCACCAAGTTTTGATGCCTACAATAATCTTCTACTTAACATGCCAAAATCCATCAATATACACAATACGACAGCATGTTGTAAATTTGTCCTGCTGTACTCTACTTAATTAGGTTCAACAATACTTGGGTCTGGAGTAATCTGGGGGCATGGAGGGGCAGCTTTCAGCCATATGTGGGTACGGCTCAGTAATATTGTATCCCGACAGCTCCATCCAATACTTCCCCTTAATTTGACAGTATGCCAGTTTCACCGTGTCACCATCATTGCACCACTTTGGGAGACGACTCGAATTGTTTTCAAACAAGTTGAGGGTATAAGCGTCTTTTATCTGCATATATATATATATATATATATATATATATATATATATATATATATAAGGATAATTATCAAAAATGAAAATAAAAAACACCCACAGCCAACATGTGATGTGGAGGTAAATCACAATCACAATTAGGGGGGTAAAAGTAAAACTGACCGTGAATTCAGTAACTTGAATATAGTTTGCAAGATCACCAAAAAGTCCAGCTGCTTTGTACATTTCAAGGATGAATGCAACACAAGAAGCTGATTTTCCATCCACATATGTCCAGTCATCCTGTTCAGGAATAGTTAATAGCTGCGCGAAAGATGATCCACGCCTTTCCACTTCTACCAAGATCTCCGGAAGATCAAGATCCTGCAAAGAAATACTTTCATTCATTTCTTAACAAATCATAATGCCAAATAAGAAAAAAAACGAACCTGAGTACCAAGCCGCTTGTTCAAGGCTTCGTTCCATATATTGGCTGCATATTCGGGTCGTACTTGGTTCCATATGGTCATAACAAAAGCAACCTGTACACCATAATCCAAAATACTTTTACACTTGCATAAATAAATAAATAAATAAGTACCAAATACCATTTTTCATTTTATGGGACAAATTGAGTGAAAATACCAGATGAGCATCCAATGGTGGTGGATAATTTCCATCAATGGTGTCGATCCAGCTAAATATCAAATTATGATAACCGTATGGTTTTCCTATCATGCTTTTTGCATACTCCCATGCAGCCGTTTCATTAAACTTGTCCCGAAGATCAGGATGCAAAGGAAGCAATGCAATATGTGGATTTGTATTATCTTTTGTCAGCTCAAACTCCCACCACTCTTCCCATGTCATCATCGCAATAAGATTTTCACCCTAAAAAAAATCCACTTCATTCCATTTCATAAACATAACAAAAAGATAATGATTATTTATTTTATTTACCTCTTCATCTTCATGTCCAGATTCTCCAACCCACAGTTTTCCTTCAGAATCCCTCAAGCAAACAGCGGAGTGACCCGCGTAAGCCCCGGATGCCCATTTCTCAAGAGTCTCAAACCCGCCCCATAACCCTCGGATCTTGGATATTGCAAGAAATTCTCCTGATTGTATGTCATCTATGTTAATGTTAGTTACCCATGGCTCGGGTCGCTCTTCAAATTTAGCTCCCATGTTTTTCTTTAGAAAAGCAAGATTTGCACTTTCCCCCCATCCAGTATTTGTAAACAACGGGAAGACCTCCCACAATGCTTCAAGGGTTCCTAACATCCCTGCTTCCAAGAGAAAAATGGAAACTCCATTCTTTTTCACCTTCAACAAGGAAGAAATAGGGTTTAACTTTAACACACGATAAGTGGCTTATTAATCACAAATGGTTAGAGTCGACAAATAATGGAAACTTACATATTCATATTCGGGTTTCCCTTCCCATTCACGAAACTCAATTTTATGTTACCGAGATAAGAAATAATAGTCCCATGTCACACGATATGGAGTTGCAAAGATATAGAGATCCATACATGTCCAACTGTGTGCATTACTTACCTAAAATAAGATAAGATGAAAGTATTTTAGAAACTTAAAAAGCTTTTAACGCGTTACGTGCATTATAGGATAACGATATTTGATAGTTGGGGGGTGCTTACAATTTTGACTCAAATGTAAAGATGAAATGATCATTTAGTCTTATTCAGACGGTTTATTCAGTCTACAAAAGAAATAGACTTTATGTCTACATCACTTTGTCCAGATAAACATCATCACCCATTTAGTCATTTTACCCATAACAACTTAATGGGGAAAAAGAGAAACAGTCCCTAAGTCTTGTATAGGTAATGTGGCTAAATGGGTAATGATGTCTGTCTGGATACATAAAGATTGTTACTTTTTCTAGACTGAATAAATTGTCAGAATGAGACTAAATGACCATTTAATCCTTGAATTCCAAAAAAACAAATTTTACAATATCCATCAACTTTGTCCAGACAAACATCATTACCCATTTAGTCACTTTACCCATACAGAACTTAATGGGGAAAACAAGAAACATTCGTCTTGTATGAGTAATGTGGCTAAATGGGTACTGATGTCTGTCTGAATACATTAAGTTTGTTACTTTTTCTAGACTAAATGAACATTTAATCATTGCATTCCAAAAAAAATTACAATATTCATTAATTTTAACATGAAAAGAGTTGGGAGGAAAAAGTAAGGGAAAATAAGTAAAGGTTAGTTTCTTAATACATTAAGTGAGGTTTTTTTTGGCCTAACCCATTAAGTCATTCTGTCCAGGTTAAGTAAAAAAACAAACAATCGTGTATAGTTGTCCAGATTAAGTGCTTAACCCATTAAGAAAAAAAGAAACAACTCCTAACCCAATAACCACTTAATAAACTCACAATTACGAAACTATTCATAACTTTAGTCAACTAGTAATCTGATTCTTATTATTCAAGTGCCAATAATAACCACAAAAATCACACATCCAAACACCCCTTAATATAGAGAAAGGTATTTTTCATGTTTTGCACATGAAACATGATTAACAGAAGTACAGAACTAATTAAGCAAATGATAAAACCAATCAACTGGTTCATGAACACATCATTATTAGCTTAATTATTGAACACATCATTATATTGGACAAATCCTACCACTCCAAACATACTTTTAAAAAACCCTAACAAGTTAAGCTCCAGATCTTTAAAACTTCACTAAAAAACTTGTATCAGCTTCAATTCAAAAATCAAATGACGATTAAAAATCAAGAAATCCATAGCCCACATGCCAAAACGAATCAAAATACAGAATACATCCAAAATAAAGGGTGGCTAAATTAAAAAGGTGAGGTTGAACACATTGAAGAAAACAAAGAAACATAAAACCTACAAAGGTATGAATCTCTACAGCAACATACTTCAAGAAACCCTAAACATTTAACCTCAGTACCAGAAAAAGATATACTAAAAATTTTATTGGAAGCAATTCAAGAATTGAGAGATCAATAACTTACATGTCAAACAAATCAAAATACCCCAAAATAAAGGATCAATTCATCAAAAAAAAAGTGACTAAACGATAGAAGGAAACCAATAAACAAAAAAACTAATATAGATGTATATGCATAAGTATGTATTATGTACCTTGATATGGAGAGTGCCTCCACCAAATTCACTGCCGGTTTTATTATGTAGCTCTAACCAGGCAGAGTTCTCATAAAAGCAAGAGCCTTTCCAATTTATATAAGAATTGTTGGAAATAGAGGCGGCGCCAACGAAGGTGGGCAAAAGATCGGTGGCGGCTCGGAGGGAAGTGAGAATGGACCATGAAACTTGACGGGGTAATAACGGAAGAAGGTCGTGTGGAAAAATGGGTGCTTTAAGAGGTTCTACTACTGGAACATGGGAACAAGTGAGGATTAAGAAGGTTATGATGGTTATGGCGTAATGGGGTTTCGAAGGAAGAAGGGACGATGGTGATGAAGGGGGTGCCATGATCGTGGAGTACAAACTCGAAAGATCACCCGAGAGTCTTGAGTCGTTACGGATGTGAGCATCTAGTCTAGAAATTTGGATTCTAAAATTTTTGTTAATCTTTAATAAATCCAAAAAATGCATCTCAATATCTCATAGTCTTGAATCTTGATAACATGAAATACACTTTTTATTAATGCTAAATATTTGACGACTCTTTTTAACGAAGACAAAACTTCATAAATAGTCACCAGGTTTCACCAAATCTGAAGTTTTGTCTTTAAGTTTCAAAAATCTCCACGATGATTTCTGCGGTTTCAAAAATTTTAATAAAAAGGTCATTATTGCTTACTCTGTCAATTTTTGTCCGTTAAGTAAAGGACATTTCCGTCATTTCACTACCACAGAGATCATTTATGAATTTTTTGTTATTTAATAT